TTCTATTCTATTCTATTCTATTCTATTCTATTCTATTCTATTCTATTATATTATATTATATTATATTATATTATATTGTAGCCATGAGTGAAGTGTAATTGTCTGTGAATGTTCAAAATTGTGCCCATTTTGCACGACACTAAAGGTTTCAGCAGCAGATAGTATTGGTTTTCTGCAGGGTTGGACTGGATGGAAGCGTTGGTCAAACACAGGAAGCCACAGCTGTAAATCAGCCTCTTGGCATGTCTTTATGGCTGCTCCTGGCTGCCTGAAACAAATGGAGGCAATCAATTATGATCTAAACATAAAAGCTTTGAAAGGAGGAAATGTAATGTGCGCTGCCTAATGATCCGAGTGTGGCTCTGCTGCTGCCAGCGGTTTGGGGTTCGCCGCATATCAGGGCCACCTACACCCACACAGTGACGCCACATGGGGGCACAATGGAGTCATGGGCAAAGTCTTAAGAGGCGTACAAGCTACTGCTCTGAAGTCAGTCAGGTCTTCAAATGCTTGGGCATGTTAAAGTGGAAGAATGTTTAATTGCATTGTGATATATTGTGAAATATTTTGATAAAGGTTGAAATTGAAATATATATATTTTTTTACAATTTTACTGTTTTATGTCTTTGAATAACCTTTAAAATAAGATGTATGTTTTAGTAAATTAAATTATTTCTATTAGGCTTACTATGGTTTGCCTCAGTAAACCATTTATTATTCTAGTCTGGCAACATTGTGTCATTAACACTTTTGGATTTCTAACTTTACATTGTGCTTCAGTATATTTTAAAGTATACTGCTTCTTTTGAAGTTACTGGCCTTGATGCCCACACCTGGTTTAGATGATGGTGATGACAGAAGAGAAAGAGGAGTAAGAAAAATGTGGGTTTATATCAATGTTTCAGTACAATATTGAATAATTGCCTAGTATAAGGCAGCCACCTATTATTATCCATCTGAAAAGGGTTTCTTAACTTTATATCTTACTCTTCCATCAACTTTACTGCAGCCTGAACTGCAATGTGTCCCCCCACAAACGTTGTATTAAAACGATCGGCTCGGCACCGTGATGTGTGCTATGGCTTTTATGACGCTTCAGTTTACCATGGCAACATAATTTGCAAAGACACCATTTTTATTGTCAATTTTTAGAATTTGGTTGCAAATCAAATACCCAAGATGGCCATCAGAGCTACAAAGGAAAAATACTGTAACTCAAACATTTTTAGATTTATTAAGCTGAAATTTGGTGTGGTAGCTGAGAGCAATGCCCAATAAACAATGACTTAAAAAAATTCAAGACGGGCACTAAAGCTAAATTTAAATGGCTTTAACTCAGCTATGTTTACACACATAGAGCTGAAATTTGGTGTGGTTATAGCTGAGAACGTTCCTCATCACATACTGAATCAAAAATTAAAAATCCAAGATGGCCACCACAGTTTAGAAGAAAAAAAAATTGCTAACTCAATGATATTTTGCCATTTTAAGCTGAAATTTGGTATAGTGGTAGCTGAGAGCGAACCCCAACACATAATACTGTTAATTTTTTTATATATTTTTTTAAATGGACGCCCCGTGGCCGTCCATGTCAAAGTTTCTCCAGAACTTTTTAGTATTAACATTGCTAGTTTTTCTTTTACCATGCATGCAGTTCTGCTTCTGGCCTGGTTGCACTTGAACTTAATCACCCATCAATTAGGAAACGGCATTTTTTGGTGAAGATCCTCTGAAGACTATGGTTATTATGCTGCAGATCAGTTTGCACATTCGCAGCTCCAGTTAGAGACAGAATTACTTTAAATTAATTAAAGGGCCACTGTCTTAATGTCTTGGTTGTGATCTGAAAAAGCAGCTCCTTAAAATGATAACTTAACCACGGAGAAGTTAGTGAAACCATGGTGGCCCTTTTATGATAGACGTAGGAACATTTTATAATATTTAGCACGAGACATTTAAATTGTTTGTCCCTCTACTTTATTTTCCACGTTTTGTGTGTAGTGAGTCACGTGAGGTACGTGTCACTTGTTGTATGACAAATATATGGATATATATTTATGCATACTTTTCACGAGTTCTTCATTTTTCTGACTGTAAATGTCGTGCATTGAATTTAACAGAAATGTGAACGAGAGACGTTATTTATCTTTGACCCATCAAATGAATGGAATCATTTATTTTCAAAATCAAAGTTTAACATCAAACATTTACATTAATTTGGCAAAATATGAAAATAATAACAGACAGTTTCACAGAAAATGAACTTCAAATCACTCGGCGGTGATTTGAGGACTTTGCTTAAGATATTTCTAAAATATCTGTACTGATTTATGAGAGAGAGGTGGGTTTTAGAGTGAAAGGAGATTATCTTACAGAGAACTGTGTGAGGGAAGTTTAATCTGTTTAACCAGAAATTGCACGCTTCGTCAGATCCTCAGCTTCTCACGGTACACTTGGTCAAAATAGAACCATCTACCTGTTGACGATGAATCAGCGTTGGATGTAGTTCCTTTCTGACTCGTTTCAGCGTCTCCGTCGAGAGCTACCAAACCTTCAGAAAGTCGTGCGTTGATTAGCTCAAAACAGAATTATAATCCCAAACGTCCCTGGTTCTTCATAACTCCAAACTCTTCATAACCGGCTGCACTCTCAATCTGCTCATTCTGTTGGACTATCGGACCTGTTGTCAGCTCTCATTCCAACATCTCTCAGAACTCTCATTCTCTTGGAATTCTGGAATCCATAATTCTCTATTCCTTCTCTTCTCTATGAACTGAGAAGTTGCCACATTTTATTTGGGTCGACTTCCTGTTCAATTTAGAGCTTTCTGATTCGTGGAAGGACCAGAAAGAGGAGTGGATTTGTGACGTAAGATGTTATCATAAGTCAAGGATTGTTTACAACATACAGAAAAGATTATTGCAGCAACAGCAGACTTCGTGGAGTCTCACACTTTGTAATCTTTTCAAATAGTAAAACATGACATTTTTCTCGGTAAACATTTTAGTTGACCGAAAACCAACCTTTAACATACTTACGACAGCTTGCTCATTTCAGACAGAAAATCAAGAAAGGCATATTCAGGTGATTTCTTCTCTGAATGAGGAACAAAAATCATTACTTACTGTTTATGTAAAAATAAAAATTAGTAGTTCTTTTCAACCTGTAAAGCATTGAGTGAACTAACACAATTTGATTATCAAAACATTTGTAAGACAGTAATGATTATAAAGAATTGTCTTTTCTGCTTGATTAATTCAAGAAAGAAAGTTCATCAGATGGTTCAGACTTATTCAGATCAATGAAAATAACAGTCTCTGTCCATCTGGTAGATTTGAGGTTATCTGGTTCACTACATGTGGTTCACGGTGATTAAAAAGGACAGGACTACAGCGGGAACAGGGAAGCAGGACTCGGGTCACAACTTATAGATCTTCCTCTGCCTTTGCTCCACTGCTGGCTGCTGTCTCCTCTCAACCCCTGGGTCTTGTCAAAATTTTGGCCCTATTACGAGCCCTTACATGTCTTTAACCAATCCCAAAGAACCGCAGAGGTTCTTGGGAAAATAAAGCCAACTGTATTTGTGAGTGAGCTGGTGTGGAAATCATGTCCAGAGATGCGCAGTCATTGGGGGGGGGGGGGGGGGGGTGCAGTAATTGATCCCAAACTAGAGAAGCCCATGGTGGTTTTCCTTTGTAGTAAACAAAGGCAGCTGATGAGAAGAAAAACATGGCTGTTTGAGTGACACAAAACCCAGCTCAGATTTTTGTATGACACATGAGGTTTTAAAGGCTTTCTTCTGTTATGCTCTCTACTTATTTACCCACACCCCCCTTTACTTTCCCTGGCGTAGAACCTGCAGCTCCTCGGGGCCACGGCGATCGAGGACAAGCTCCAAGATAAGGTGCCTGAAACCATCGAGACTCTAATGAAGGCTGACATTAAGATCTGGATCCTAACTGGAGACAAACAGGAAACAGCCATCAATATTGGTAAAAAAAAACAAAAGATTAAATAAAATTTAAAAAAATGCTTTCTAGTCTTTGAACTTTGTTTCACGTGGATCCTGTTCTGATGTGTGTCATGTAAAGCGGCGTGCTTTCTCTCTAAGGTCATCCACGGAGCACTTTTTCAACTTCTGCGGCTGTGCAGAAAGATTTGTTTTTGAAATCTGCTCCCTTTCACCCAGAAACACTGCGCTTACACAGGAGAAAACCACGACCCAAGCTTCAGACAAGCCCAACTCTGCTACCAGCTGCATAATAAGAAACTGATGCTTGAATTGCTAACACATGTAAAGTAAAAAAAAAAACATCCCTAGCTGTTTGAATTATAGATGCTATTCCGTTCATGTTGTTGCATCAAGACACACTTTAGCCTTGTTTATGTACTTCCTTCTCACAGATACCCCAGTCAGTCTCGTGGTCATTCCTCACCCAGCACGAAAAACTACTGACAAGCCCAATGGTTCTCTGTCGCACATATCTTGTGAAAGCATCTGCTGCAGAGTGATATATGAGCTCTCCAGACTCGCATGAAATACACAACATGCAAATATACTTGGGCAGACACCTCTCACACATCCAGCTTCCTCTGAGATTTTAAAGATATTATCAGAAAGGCAAATAACTAACGCTGCTTGACCGTTTCAGTTCATTTCTGTGCCCTTGTGCGACAACTTTCAAATGTGGGGAAATACCAAAAGTAGATCAGCCTTGAAAACAGCAAACTTAGAAGCACAGAGTTTAGAAAAATAGATATCAAAGGTAGCTCCGTTTGTGGCTGCACCTACCACTGAGGCCTAACTGAATCAGCTCTTTGTGCCCACCGTGCCCAGATGTGAGGGGGCCGAGCAGACCCTAATGCTCACTGCAAGTGTTTTTACAGCTCTGCTTTGACAGAGGCGTCCTGTAAAAACTCTGGTCACTTTTGGCTTTCTCCCCATATTGAAAGATTATTTCATTGCCAAGGTGATAAAGCACTGTGCACTATTACAAATTAGACTTACCGTGCTTGCCGCCGTACACGTCGCACTGCCGTATAAGTTGCATCAGTCCAAATATGTCTAATAAAGTGGAATTAAACATAAATACGTCGCTTCGCCGTATAAGTCGCAGGCATGCTAATTTATGCAAAAACTGCGACTTACAGCGACAATTACGGTAGTCACAAAACAATAAACTTTTTTCATCAGTTTACATAAATCAACTCTTAATCTTAATCAACAAGTTATTAATTTTGAATCGTCTCTGTGGCAAAACTATGCATTTGTTGCTCCCCAGACGTACCAGAGATGACGGAGTGTTGTTTCACATTCCTTAAGACCTGTGGGGCCGGTGTTTAGGTCTGCTTCAGTGAGAAAGGGACAGGATTTAACTTTGGTGAAATAAAAATAAAAGCTCTTAAATGGACTAAAAGGTAAATACATTAAGCGGTGGTGTGGGGTTTAGTAATTGACAAAGGGGAAGGGAAAAGAGACAGAGATGGTGAGACTTTTTCCATAGAGCGGCAAATTTTTGGACATTTGGACCTTTGCACTTAACAAAACAATCTGCCAGACCTCAGACTGGAGCCTGTTTGGTTTTAACTCTGGGGGTGAAACTTGCTCATTTCCTTCATGTGTGTGTCTGTGTGTGTGTGTCTGTATTTGGGTGTTTTTGCATGTTTTGTGCATGCTCTCGTCTTATTTTCACTCACAAAAAAAGGGCGCTCATGTAGTCCCAAAAAGACAGGTTATGTTGTAACCTCCGTAAAAAAAATAAAAAATAAACTCTCTATCCAGACAGAAGCAAAGTGTTGAACCCACAAATATTTCCGTGGTTATGCCACAGATGGCTGCCTTCTCATACATCGGCAGCACTAAACTGACGGCTTCAGTCTTGGTTCACAAAACATTTCAGTTTCCTCCCCAAAGAGAAGCTCCTCCACCACTTTCTGCTGAACCCGTGTCTGCCCCAGCCAAAAACTGAGCAGAGCGCTCCCCAGGGAGCCATGTTGGGTAACCCACAGTTTTAAGTGCCTGTTAAAACAGGAAGCTGACAAACTCTTGTAAACCAAACTCATTAGTCATGTTCTAAGGCTTCGACTCCTAGCTGTTACATTTTAATTGCTTCCCCTTAAAATTTTGCATTGCTTGTTTGGTTTTGTCATCTCCTTCGTGTAGTTGGATTTATTTGTGTACATTAGATAACCTAAATGAGTTAATTATTAAAGAAAACTTTTATTAAAAATAGGATAAACACTTCATTAAAGATATATGCTAACCCATATGTTTACCACTTGTCTTTTCAAGTCTAAATAATAATTAAAAAAGAGGAATTTCATTTTTTTAATGCTCTCTTCCATCTCAGGACATTCCTGCAAACTCCTAACAAAGAACATGGGCATGCTTGTGATCAATGAAGATAGTCTGGATGTAAGTATACAATATTTTGTTAAAAGTGCTACAGTAAGCACACTTAATTCATAACAATATAATATTCATACCAGGAAAGAAAAGAAAAAAAAAACATACTAGAATGTTGTTTATTTTACTATTTGACCAAATCCGTAGCGTTTTTATTATCATTTATTTATTTTTGGCACCAATTTGGACTGAGGTAACAAACATCCATAAACCAACAAGGTCCATGCTCAATAATCCAGGTATACAATCCAACAATTTTCAGTCAGGTCATCTGGATAGTTTCTTTTTTTTTTTGTGCAAAAAAAGAAGAAATTGTCCAGATGACCCGACTGAAAATTGTTGGAACGTCCATAAACCCTCATTTGGTGTATTAATTTATAGTTGCAGTTTTTGTTTTTGCATTGTGCACCTGCATTATTGCAAAATGTCAAGAGAATTAAAGATAAATGCATTTTTATTTCCATTTTTTAACGTCATTTAGAGGCACAAGTCTTTTTTTTTCTCATGTAACACCAGAATTTATGCTCTTATTAAGGCTTATCCATACCTAACTGGAAAATGTTGGTAAAAACTGGAAGACTTCACAAAAATTTGTGTAGTTTCTTTAAAAAAATAAAAAAAAATTTCACTGGCAAAAATGTTGATTTGAGCATCTTTACAAAATCTATTTAAAATGCTCATCTTAATTTTGAAAGGATAAAGCTACAGGGAGCCTTCCTCAAAAATCCCACCGCATGCCCTCAAACCCACGTTTAGCATCATTACGATGCCCAACAAGGAAGTCTGTTAACCCCCTACAGGAGGTCCTTGTCTTTTGGTCCTGGATTAGAAAATTTCAGCAGGGAAGAGATGAGCATAAAAGCTGAGGTCAAGACTGCTGGGTTTGTCTGCTACGAAGAGGAAAATGCCAAGAAGTGGAGGACGACGGTGTGGGTGGATGTTTCTGGGTGCTGACGGATGGCCTTCACTCTGTCAGGCGTTTGTTAAGCGTGATAAATGGAGCCGAGGTAGAATGTGGGTTTGGTTCATTCATATAACACACGAACCAGTGCTTTGAAATGTCAGCTTCCATTCTCCTGTGGTTGAGCAGATGCTTACTTAAGGCAGTTTGTTAAAACTCAGGAAGAGAAAGCTCTCCAACACAGAGAGGCACGAGGAACAGAGAGCCAGGCCACCGCACAAGTATATCTGAATATACTGTTAAAGACATTTATAGGTTTCCTTTTTTCTTTTCTTTTTTTGCTGTGTTTAGAGATTGTAATCAAAGCAAAAAAAAACTGTTTTTGAGGAGTCTATTTTTGTGTTAAATCTTAACAAAATTTAACAAAGCTCAGTCAGGTCATCTAGACGGTTTCTTTTTTTTGTTGAGACTATTCATCCAAAGGACTTCATCAGTCTGAACAAACTTAGACCCACAAGCAGCACACTCACATAGTGGACCAACCAGTTTGCTGGTTATAAAATGTTTTTTGGAGCCTGCCCTCTCCCCCATCGACTCTTCTGAGGCAGCCATGGCCAAAGTGGTTCAAAACATCAAAGTTCATGCTCAATAATCCAAGTAACAAAATCCAACAAAGTTCATTCAGGTCATCTGGACGGTTGACTTTTTTGTTGAGACGTTTCGTCTTTCATCCAGAGAACTTCATCAGTCCGACGAGCCACAACAAACTCAGTCCCACAAGCAGCACACTCACTCAGAATTTTTTTTAACCTGGATTATTGATCATGAACTTGGATGTTTTGAACCACTTTGCCTATGGCTGCCTCAGAGGAGTGAACAGGGGAGAGGGTGCTTGTGGGACTGAGTTTGTTGTGGATTGTCGGACTGATGAAGTCCTTTGGATGAAGAATGAACTGTCTCAACAAAAAAAGAAACCGTCCAGAGGACCTGACTGAACTTTGTTGGATTATTTTTTTACCTGGATTATTGAGCACGAACTTGGACGTTAACAAAATTTGTATTTTAAGGGGTAAACGTTCAAAATAAATTTAGAAATATTTTTTGGTAAATAAATTTTAAGAGCAAACAGTGTTTTAAATATTCAAATAGTTGCAAAATGCAGGTATTACTGGATTTGGGTCTTTATTCAATTTTGATAGAAATGTGCTTTTAAAATGTCTTTCTTTGCTTGAAACACAACATTACCTGCCCATGCAAATGTCTAAACACCTCACGCTAAGCTGAAACAATCTCTTTTAGTGGGCCTCCAAGCGGAGGACAGCTGATGACATTACATCCATACAAATGACCAGATTCCACATCATGAGTGTCACGTCCTGTTGGCTATATCACTCAAGGCCTATATCAACAATGGAGCTCAGTCTTTATAGGATGCTCTTGCTGATCTCTGAATGGACACCACATACCCGTTCCAAAAACCAAACACTAGCTCGTCACATAGGCTGAACTGGTGATTATAGCCATAACAAAGAGGCTTTAGGAGGAGACATGTAGCATTAGTGTTAAAATTCCTCAGTGGAATTAAGGGGGGAAATGAGCGTACTACTTGAGGAAATGGTAAACTCTGCTTATCACACTTTATGATGAATTGGTTTTGTTCCAAACAAAGGGAATTCTTTCTCATACTTGAGAAGTTGTAAGTTGTATACAAGAGCTTATTCATGCATCGGCATGGAGATGTAATCAGAAATGGCTCTGATAACTCAGATGGAGTACTTGAATGTAAATACTAGAACCTTTGGGTCCTCTGTCTGCTGCTCATCTCCTCATGCTGTTTTACAGATCCCATCAGGGCTGGATAAGTCCTCGCAGCTGCTCTCTGCTTGTATCCTCCTGCTCACTTTCTCTCCTGTTAATCCATCATCTCTCTCCGTGCGTGTCTCGCTCTCCGCCTCGCGCTTTGTGAAACGTAAAGCCCCTCTCTCCAAATATTTCCCTTAAGCTGAGGTTTCAGAGTTTTGTTATGTCAAGTGAAAGTTGCACGGTCCCCATGGTGCAATCTGAATGCTTTGACATATCTGACCTCCACACCAGGCCAGAGCCCTTCCTCCTCTGTTTCTGTTAATGGCCATCATTTTTAAAAAAAACATTTTCAGCTGTTTGAGCATCTGCTAAGCACTTTACAGTAAACACTTTGCGTTTGACCTGCCTGATTGCTTTAAAAGCTTGTGTTGTGCTCTTATTTGTGATTATTAAGATAAAACAGTGGTGTATCCACATCCAATAAGAGTTCTGTTTAAATACTAATTTTTGTATGCTGATGGCTTCACCATATGTGGAGAAGAGGACAAAGATGAAAACTGTAATGATTTTAGAAACCCCCACCCCACCCCCCATTTATTGAGACACAATAGTGGGACGTTGGTATTCTTGTCAGTCTTATACTTTCATCATCTCTCATCTTCATGGTGGCATGAACACAATGGCAGGTCAAGAATCACATGCTAAGATAGAAATAGTATCAAATGAAAACTATTGAGTTGTAACAATTCATTTTAAGGAATGTGGTCATTTTGTCCTCCTGTAGTCTAAGCCTATAGCAGCATAACAAGCCAACCCTAACTATAGGATTTATCAAAAAGGAAAGTCTTAAGCCCAGTCTTAAAACTGGACAATGTGTCAGCCTCATGGACAGAAACTGGAAGTTGATTCCACAAGAGAGGAGCCTGATAACTGAAAGATCTTCCTCTCATTCTGCTTTTGGAAACTCTAGGAACCGCGAGTAAGCCTGCAGTCTGAGAGCGAAGTGCTCTGTTGGGAAAATATGGAACAATAAGATCTTGAATATAAGATGAAGCTAGGTTGTTGAGGGCTTGGCAGGTTAGAAGTAAGATTTTGAATTCTATTATGATTTTGACAGGGAGCCACTGGAGAGAAATGATCTCTCCTACCAACTCCCATTAAGACTCATTAAGAAATGTATGGACAAAAGCAGTGAATCGAATACTTGTACCCACTTAAACGTTTTACATTAGTAGAGTATACAAGAGATATGAGGTCCAGATGACATGATTGAACCATTTTTGTTATATAAGAGATACTTCTTAGTGTACATTCTGTTTCAAATGCAGTTTGTGAGATATCAAAACATGACAAAAATATTAAGACTTCAGAGGGTCTTTGAGAAACAGAAATCTCTGACATGAACGTTAACATCAAATCTTTGTTTCCATTCAAACTCTTGTTGTTGATAGAAATGTTTGCTCATTTCATTCAAAAACACTAACATTAGGACTCCAACACAACTAATATTTCTCTCTTTTTTTTAAACACACAGTCAACAAGAGAAACCCTCAGCCACCACTGTGGAATGCTGGGAGATGCCATTTACAAAGAAAACGACTTTGCTCTAATTATTGATGGAAAGACTCTTAAATATGCTCTTACGTTCGGAGTACGCCAGTACTTCCTGGACCTCGCCTTGTCCTGTAAAGCCGTCATATGCTGCAGGTAAGATTTGACCCTCCAGCAGTAAAATAAACCTGAAATAGAAGAAAGGAAAACGAGCAAAACATTTAAGCCAGCTACTACTAAATTCTCTGAAAACCCTAACCCTTACTGCTCACATCGTTTTCAATACCTCAGACCAGCTTAATGAAATTCTTCTTAAAATTCAATATAATTAGACAAAAGTATAAATAATTCTGGTGAAATTTGAACTGTTTACTTAAACTATATATCACTTATTTGCCACAAAGGGTTTTTTTTTAATTCATTGAAACAGTTTAAAAAGTACAACACCATTAAATTAAAATGGCAACGTCATAAAAATACTCAGGTGACCTGCTGAGGCCACATAAAAAGTAGGAAGTACTTAAGTATTCAAGTGACCATGACATTGTATTAGGCCTGAACTCAACACTGTGTTTTAAGAACAACTGCAAACTTTTACGTGCCGCTCTTTTACTGTGTACGTAATGTCAATTTTTTATTTAGCCCCTCCCACACCTCCACCTGCCTGAGCCTTGAGCCTGCTCTGAAGGCAAGATGATACCAGAGGAATAAATAAGATCTCTTAAACCTCCAAAAACATAAACATTAACAGTCT